GTCAACTTTTATAGTATTTCAAAAAAGACTTGGAAGGTTCTTGCCAACTTTTACCTACAGGACAAGCTGCAAACTCTTCCATGAAGATTTGTCCACTCTGCAACGAAGCATACAATTCATGAATGATGATTACCTTGAGAAATCTCTTGAGTTGGTCATCACCCATTCATAGCACATCTCCAACCACATGAAACTATCGAGTTCACTTGTCAATGTTGTAGAACTACGAAACAGTCTTGGCATCCTTTTATTTAAAGGACACTGTATACTTCTCCAAAAAGAGTTGTCCGTCTTGCAAAGAAGCTTACAATTCGTGAATTATGATTACCTTGAGAAATCTCTTGAGTTGGTCATCACCATTCATAGCACATCTCCAACCACACAAAGCTATCGAGTTCACTTGTCTACTTTTGTAGAACTACAAAACAGTCTTGGCATCCTTTATTTAAAGGACACTCTGTACTCTTCTCCAAAAAGAGTTGTCTGTCTTGCAAAGAAGCATACAATTCGTGAATGATGATTACGTTGAGGAATCTCCTGAATTGGTCATCACCATTCATAGTACATCACCAACCACATGAAGCTATCAAGTTCACTTGTCAACTTTTTATAGTATTTCAAAAAAGACTTGGAAAATTCTTGCCAACTTTTATTTAAAAGACAAGCTGTAAACTCTTCCATAAAGAGTTGTCCACTCTGCAAAAAATCATACAATTTGTGAATGATGATTACCTTGAGGAATCTCCTGAGTTGGTCATCACCATTCATAGCACATCTCCAACCACACGAAGCTATCGCGTTCACCTGTCAACATTGTAGAACTACAAAACAAACTTGGAAAGTTCTTGGCAACCTTTATTTAAAGGACAAGCTGTAAACTTTTCTATGAAGAGTTATCCAACCTGCAAAAAAGCATACAATTCGTGAATTATGATTGATTACCTTGAATTCTCCTGAATTGGTCATCACCATTCATGATGCATCACCAACCACATGAAGCTATCAAGTTCACTTGACAATTTTATAGTTTTTCAAAAAAGACTTAGAAAATTCTTACCAACTTTTATTTAAAGGACACTGTACACTTCTCCAAAAAGAGTTGTCCGTCTTGCAAAGAAGCTTACAATTCGTGAATGATGATTACGTTGAGGAATCTCCTGAGTTGGTCATCACCATTCTTGGTACATCACCAACCACATGAAGCTATCAAGTTCACTTGTCAACTTTTATAGTATTTCAAAAAAGACTTGGAAGGTTCTTGACAACTTTTACCTACAGGACAAGCTGTAAACTCTTCCATAAAGAGTTGTCCACTCTGCAAAAAATCATACAATTTGTGAATGATGATTACCTTGAGGAATCTTTTGAGTTGGTCATCACCATTCATAGCACATCTCCAACCACACGAAGCTATCGCGTTCACTTGTCAACAAACTTGGAAAGTTCTTGGAAATCTTTATTTAAAGGACAAGCTGTAAACTTTTCCATGAAGAGTTATCCAACCTGCAAAAAAGCATACAATTCGTGAATTACGATTATTGATTACCTTGAGTTCTCCTTTATTGGTCATCACTATTCATGATGCATCACCAGCCACTTGGAGCTATCAAGTTCACTTGACAACTTTATAGTTTTTAAAAAAAGACTTGGAAAATTCTTACCAACTTTTATTTAAAGGACAAGCTGTAAACTCTTCCATAAAGAGTTGTCCACTCTGCAACGAAGCATACAATGTGTGAATGATGATTACCTTGAGGAATCTCTTGAGTTGGTCATCACCATTCATAGCACATCTCCAACCACACAAAGCTATCGAGTTCACTTGTCAATGTTGTAGAACTGCGAAACAGTCTTGGCATCCTTTATTTAAAGGACACTCTGTACTCTTCTCCAAAAAGAGTTGTCCGTCCTGCAAAGAAGCATACAATTTGTGAATGATTACCTTGAGGAATCTCCTGAATTAGTCATCGCCATTCTTGGTACATCACCAACCACATGAAGCTATCAAGTTCACTTGTCAACTTTTATAGTATTTCAAAAAAGACTTGGAAGGTTCTTGACAACTTTTACCTACAGGACAAGCTGTAAACTCTTCCATAAAGAGTTGTCCACTCTGCAAAAAAAATCATACAATTTGTGAATGATGATTACCTTGAGGAATCTTTTGAGTTGGTCATCACCATTCATAGCACATCTCCAACCACACGAAGCTATCGCGTTCACTTGTCAACAAACTTGGAAAGTTCTTGGAAATCTTTATTTAAAGGACAAGCTGTAAACTTTTCCATGAAGAGTTATCCAACCTGCAAAAAAGCATACAATTCGTGAATTACGATTATTGATTACCTTGAGTTCTCCTTTATTGGTCATCACTATTCATGATGCATCACCAGCCACTTGGAGCTATCAAGTTCACTTGACAACTTTATAGTTTTTAAAAAAAGACTTGGAAAATTCTTACCAACTTTTATTTAAAGGACAAGCTGTAAACTCTTCCATAAAGAGTTGTCCACTCTGCAACGAAGCATACAATGTGTGAATGATGATTACCTTGAGGAATCTCTTGAGTTGGTCATCACCATTCATAGCACATCTCCAACCACACAAAGCTATCGAGTTCACTTGTCAATGTTGTAGAACTGCGAAACAGTCTTGGCATCCTTTATTTAAAGGACACTCTGTACTCTTCTCAAAAAGAGTTGTCCGTCCTGCAAAGAAGCATACAATTTGTGAATGATTACCTTGAGGAATCTCCTGAATTAGTCATCGCCATTCTTGGTACATCACCAACCACATGAAGCTATCAAGTTCACTTGTCAACTTTTATAGTATTTCAAAAAAGACTTGGAAGGTTCTTGCCAACTTTTACCTACAGGACAAGCTGCAAACTCTTCCATGAAGAGTTGTCCACTCTGCAACGAAGCATTCAATTTATGAATGATGATTACCTTGAGAAATATCTTGAGTTGTCATCACCATTCATAGCACATCTCCCAACCACATGAAACTATCGAGTTCACTTGTCAATGTTGTAGAACTACGAAACAGTCTTGGCATCCTTTTATTTAAAGGACACTGTATACTTCTCCACAAAGAGTTGTCCGTCTTGCAAAGAAGCTTACAATTCGTGAATTATGATTACCTTGAGAAATCTCTTGAGTTGGTCATCACCAATCATAGCACATCTCCAACCACACACGAAGCGATCGAGTTCACTTGTCAACTTTTGTAGAACTAAAAAACAGTCTTGGCATCCTTTATTTAAAGGACACTCTGTACTCTTCTCCAAAAAGAGTTGTCCGTCCTGCAAAGAAGCATACAGTTTGTGAATGATTACCTTGAAGAATCTCCTGAATTGGTCATCGCCATTCTTGGTACATCACCAACCACATGAAGCTATCAAATTCACTTGTGAACTTTTTATAGTATTTCAAAAAAGACTTGGAAAGTTTTTGGTGACTTTTATTTAAAGGACAACCTGTAAGCTCTTCCATGAAAAGTTATCCACGCTGCAAAAAATCATACAATTCATGGATGATTATTACCTTGAGGAATTTCGAGTTGGTCATCACCATTCATAGCACATCTCCAACCACATGAAGCTATTGCGTTCACTTGTCAACCTTGTAGAACTACAAAACATTCTTGGCATCCTTTTATTTAAAGGACACTGTACACTTCTCCACAAAGAGTTGTCCGTCCTGCAAAGAAGCTTACAATTCGTGAATGATTACCGTGAGGAATCTCCTGAATTGGTCACCATTCTTGGTACATCACCAACCACATGAAGCTATCAAATTCACTTGTCAACTTTATAGTGTTTCAAAACAAACTTAGAAAGTTATTGGCAACTTTTTATTTAAAGGACAACCTTTAAACTCTTCCATGAAGAGTTGTCCACTCTGCAAAGAAGCATACAATTCATGTTTGATGATTACCTTGAGGAATCTTCAGAGTTGATCATAGCACATCACCAACCTTATGAAGCTATCAACTTCACTTGTCAACTTTATAGTACTTCAAAACTAACTCTGAAATGTCTTCACACCATTTATTTTAAGGACAACCAGTACATTCTTCCTTGAAGAGTTCTCAAAGAAGTATACAATTCATGAATGATGATTACCTTGAGGATTCTACTAAATTGTTCATCGCCATTGATAGCCTCACGTAGTTGATGTGCTATGACGTTCACTTGTCACTGGAATATAACAAAGCTTGTATTACACCAAAACAGACTTGGAAATCTCTTGGCAACCTTTATTTAAAGGACAACCTGTAAACTCTTCTAAGAACTATCCACTCTGCAAAGAAGCATACAATTCATGAATGATTACCTTCTGGAAAGAATCTTCTGAATTGATCATCACCATTCATAGCACATCATCAATTACATGAAGATATCAAGTTCACTTAACTTTGTAGACCCACAAAATCAACTTGGAAAGTTCTTGGCAACCTTTTATTTAAAGGACAAACTGTAAAGCCCTTCAAAAAGAGTTGTCCATCCTGTAAAGAAGCATTAATGGACAATTCATGGATGATTACCTTAAACACAAGCCTACCGGGCACTTATACCTCCTTCCTGCCCAGGCCAATTTCCAGCTTTCAGCGCTGTTGCACTTTGAATGACAATCATGCAACACTGTACCCATATGAAATTTTTTAGCATTGTTTTGTAACAGAGCTTTATTTTGGTGGTGTTTAATCACCTCTGGGTTTTTTTTTCTGAAACAAACCAAAAACCACTGAAAACTTTGAAAAAAATGTTTTTTCTTAGTTTTTGTTATAACATTTTGTAAATAAGTGATTTTTCTCCTTCACTGATGTGCACTGATGGACACTGATAGGTGGCACTGATGGGCACTGATGAGGAGGCACTGGTAGGTGACACTGATGGGCATTGACAGGCATTACTGATGGGCACTGAAAGGCAGCACTGATATATGGCACTGATACATGGCACTGATAGGCAGCACTGTTAGGTGGCACTGACTGGCACTCATGGGTGACACTGAAAGGCAGCTCAAATGGGCACTGATATGTGGCATTGATGTGCACTGGTAGGCACTGATATGTGGCACTGATGGGCACTGGCAGGTGGCACTGCTGAGCACTGACACAAGGCACTGATGGACACTGACAGGTGGCACTGCTGAGGCTACACTGGTCATCAGGGCACACTGATCATCAGTGCCCTGATGATCAGTGTACATGTCCCCTCCGCGGAAAGCCTCTTACCGGCTCTCCTCTGTCAGCATGACAGCTCGAGAGGAGAGAAATGCTGATAACCGGCATTTCCCTGTTTACATGTGATCAGCTGTGATTGGACACAGCTGATCACATGACCGAGCCGACATCTTTGGCACTTTCCGTGATCGGTGATCCGCTGTGTCCGAGGAACAGAGCGCACCGCCAATCGCCGCGCTGCGTGCTCCCTGAGCAGCGCATGCGCGGTGAGAATGGAAGGACGTCATATGACGTCCCCCCAGAACGAGAGAACCACCTTGAGTCTGTCATATTACTATATGGCAGGTGGGAGGTGGTTAAGGAATCTCCTGAGTTGGTCATGACCATTGATAGCCTCACATAGTTGATGATGTGCTATAAAGTCCACTCCTCAACTTTGTAGAATTCCAAACCAAACTTGGAAAGTGCTTAGAAACCTGTGTTTGAAATGACAACCTGTAAACTCTTCCATGAAGAGTTGTCCATTCTGCACATATTCAGGCTAAATAAAACATGATGAATTGGTGAATCTTCTGAACTGGTCATCACATCCTCCTGTGGTTGATAATGTGCCATGAGTGTTCACCTGTCAAATGTAGCATTCCAAAGGCTTGGAAATGGCTGAAGAACCTTTATTCAAAAGACAACCTGAAGAGCTGTCCATTCTGCAAAAAAGCATACAATTCACGAATGTTAAATACTCTGAGGATTCTTCTGAACTGGTCATCACTATTCCTAACCTCACCTGGTTGGTGACATGCTATGAATGTCTACATGTCAATAGAATATATACAATTTTGTAGAACTCCAAAACAGACTTGGAAAGTGCTTAGGAATCTTTACTCAAAGGACAACCTGAAAACTTTCCCATGAAGAGTTGTCCAATCTGCAATTGATCATACAATTCATGAATCGTGATTACCTGGGTTCGTAAATTGTTTGACTGTCACGTACCTGGTGTGAGAGGCCAATGGAGAGAGGGCTTTCCCTTGCGGCTAAGTTCCAGACTCACCTGAGAGTGGGACAGCAGGAGTCAGGCCCAAAGTGGCACAGGTCGCCTATAGGATTGCTTATTGGTGGTCCACCCAGGAGCGCAGCAGCTGATGCTGCAGACAGGTGGTCTGCAGACAGGTGGCGCCTGTGCGAGGTATGCAAGCCCTGCCGGGGAACAGAGGATTACTTGATAGCCGGTACACAGAGGAGCAAGAGGGAATATCCGGTAGCCAAGCCGAGGTCATACACAGAGAAGCAAGAGGGAATATCCGTTAGCCAAGCCGAGGTCATACACAGAGGAGCAAGAGAGAATATCCGTTAGCCAAGCCAAGGTCAGGTCAGGGTTTAAGCAGAGAAGACAGGTCCAGGAGCAAGCCGAGTCACAGTAGCACAGGAACAGGAAATCACAGGTCACAGGAACAAGGTACTGGGGAGCCAGAGATCAACCAGCTCCTGAGAGTAGTGCAGGGCTTCCTTATAAAGGCCGTTTGGCAACAAATTTGAGCCAAAGTGAACTTTTGCGGCCATGCAAGGTACTGACAGGGGTGCCAGGTCTCCTAACACCTCTGCCGAGGACGGAGCCCTGACAGTAACACACTATCAGATAAATCTTCATGGAAATAAATATTTAGGCTAATTATCACTTGAGGGAGTTGGTTAATCTCATAAACTGACCATCACCATAGATATCCTCACGTGGCTGGTAATGTGGTACGATTGTCCACTTGTCAAAAGAATATGTCAAATATTGTGGTGCTCCAAAACAGACTTGGGAGGTATTTAGGAATCTTTTTTTTCCAAAGCACAACTTGTAAACTCTTCCATGAAGAGATGTTCAATCTGCAGAGAATCATACAATTCATGAATCAATCATGATTACTTTGAGGAACTGGTGAATCTCCTCAATTGATCATAACAATTGATAGCCTCATGTGGTTGACATGCAATGATGTTCACTAGTTTAGAATGTCAAACGTTGTAGTACCCCATAACAGACTTGTGGAAGGTGTTTAGGAACCTTGATTGAAAAGACAACCTGTAGATTCTTCCATGAAGAGTTGTCTATTCTGAAGGTAATCATTCAATTCATGAATCATGATTACCTGGGTTCATAAATTTAGTGATTCTCTACCGATTAGATAAATCTCAATGGAAGTATTCCGGTTAATTATAACTTGAGGAATTGATGAATCTTCTGAACTGATCATCACCACAGATCTCGTGGTTGGTGATGCGCCATGATTGTTCATTTATCAATAGGATATGTCCTATATTGTAGTACTCCAAAACAGGCTTTGGAAGTGCTTGGGTACCTTTTTATTTGAAAGACAAGCTGTAGACTCTTCCTTGAAGAGTTGCCCAGTCTGCAAAGAATCATATAGTTCATGAACCCTGATTACCTGGATACTCGCATTGTAATTTTCTTAATTAAAACTTGAATCTGTGAACCTCCTGAACCAATCATCACCACTGATAGCCTGGCGTGGTCGGTGATGTTCTATGACTGTTCACTTAGAATCACTTAGGTCAATAGAATGTCAAACCTTGTAGTACTCCAGAACAGGCTTGGAATGTGCTTAGGAACCTTTATTCAAAAGACAACCCAAAGACTCTTCTATGCTCAGTCTGCAAAGAATGAATACCTCGAGGAATTGGTGAATCTCCTGAACTGATCCTTCTCCTTGATATCCTGACGTGGTTGGTAACGTGCTATGATGCTCACTAGTCGATAGAAACTAGATGGAAAAAGACTTGGAAAGTGCCTAGGAACCTTTTATTGAAAAGACAAACCGTAGACTCTTCTATGTAGAGTTGTCCAGTCTGCAAAGAGTCAGTACTATTCATGAATCCTGATTACCTGGATTCCTAAATTGTGTGATTCTCTACTAATTTATAAAAATCTTCATGAAAACATTCAGATGAATCAAAACTTGAGGAATTGCTGAACTGATCATCACCCTAGATAGCCTCATGTGGTTGGCGATGTGCTATGATGTTTGTTCATCAGTAGAATGTCAAACCTGGTAATACCAGAACAGTCTTGAAAAGTGTTTAGGAACCTTTTTTTCATATAAGTGTTTGCAAGTTCTTTGAATAATGGTTCCTAAGCACTATCTAAGTCTATTTTGAAGAAATACAGCATTTGAAATATAATTCTGACAAGTGGACAATCATAGCACAACACTAACCATGTCAGGATATCAATGGTGATGATCAATGTAGGAGATTCACTTGTTCCTCTAGTCTTAGTATTGTATGTTTCTCTGCAGACTGGGCAACTTTTCATGTAAGAGTTTACAAGTTATTCTTTTTTGAAGAGTTGCCCAGTCTGCAGAGAAACGTACAAAAAAAAACTTGAGGAATTGGTGAATCTCTTCCATTGATATCCTGATATGGTTGGTGATGTTCTATGATTGTCCACTTGTCAGAAGATGTCAATTCCTGTAGTACTCCAATATAGGCCTAGATCATGTTTCTCAACTAGGGTTCCTCTAGAGCAGGGGTGTCCAAACTATGGCCCTCCAGGTGTTGAGGAACTGCAAGTCCCATGAGGCCTTGCAAGACTGACATCCAAAGGCAAGACACCCAGAGGCAGAGGCATGATGGGACTTGTAGTACTTCAACAGCTGGAGGGTTTTGGACACCCCTGCTCTAAAGATTTATAGGGGTTTCATGAGCAATACATTCCCACTGACATTTATTGATCTTTTTAGCTATCTGTAAGGGGGCAATTCTTCTCAGTGTAAGGCCATCACACTACTGTATCATTAGTTGTAGATATAGTAACTTTAGCAGGGGTTCCGAGACTGGAAAGTCATTTCAAGGGTTCTACTGTGTTCAAAAGGCTGAGAGATCCTGGCTTAGATGGGGCTTAGGAAACTTTATTAGTAAACGTTTACACAAATAAGTTGCCCAGTCTGCATAGAATCCTACATTTCTTGATTCCTGATGCTCACGATTGGTCGGCAAGGTGCTATGATGTCCTCTTGCCATTGAAATGGCACATAACCAACCATGTCAGGATATCAGTGGTGATGAGTGGAGGAGATTCGCTAGTTCTTCTATTTATTTACTAGTTCCTCTATAATATTGTATGTTTCTCTGCAGACTGGGCAAGTTATTCTTTTGAAGAGTTGCCCAGTCTGCAGAGAAACGTACAAAGAAAAAAAAAACTTGAGGAATTGGTGAATCTCCTCAATTGATATCCTGATATGGTTGGTGATGTTCTATGATTGTCCACTTGTCAGAAGATGTCAATTCCTGTAGTACTCCAATATAGGCCTAGATCATGGTTTCTCAACTAGGGTTCCTCCAGAGATTTAGGTGTCCTTTTATCATGCAGCTGTAAATGACCGCTGCTCAGTTCTCTGGCATTCTCAGAGGAGAGCGTTCTCCTCTGAATGCCTTTTTATGAAGCGGTGTAGATCGCTTCTCCGAATGAAGGGAGAAGCAATCTAAAAACACTTTGAACGCTGGAAAACGGCTACTTTTACTATAATCTCACAAGATTACAGTAAGAGATCAGTCAAACACCGTATAATAAGCAGCGGCAAATTACTGCTGCTTCATTTGTGGGTCCTCTGATTCTCCAGCTCTGGGCTGGAGAATCTGCAGGGAGAACACAGATCGCCAGTGAAGGGCTGACATCGCTCCTTCATACACTGGCCATCTGTGTGCTGATGATCAGGGGAGAACATGTTCTCCACTGGTCATCTCTGTTTCCTAAACCACTAATGATCGGAGATTAGCAATGATCCTTAGGATCGCAGCTGGTCTCTGTTTCATAAAAGGACACTTTACAGGGGTTTCATGAGCAATAAGTTCCCATTGACATTATTGATCTTTTTAGGTATCTGTAAGGGGGCAATTCTTCCCAGTGTAAGGCCATCACACTACTGTATCATTAGTTGTAGATGTAATTTTAGCAGGGGTTCCCTGAGACTGGAAAGTAATTTCAAGGGTTCTTCTGTGTTGAAAAGTTTGAGAGATCCTGGCTTAGATGGTGCTTAGGAAACTTTATTAGTAAACGTTTACACAAATAAGTTACCCAGTCTGCATAGTATCCTACAATTCTTGAATCCTGATGCTCACGATTGATCTCCTCATGTGGTCAGTGAGGTGACTATGCTGTCCTCTTGCCATTGAAATAGCACATCACAAACCATGTCAGGATATCGGTGGTGATGAGTGGAGGAGATTCACTAGTTCCTCTAGTTTTAATAT